AGGCAGCTCCGCCACCCGTGCCCGGGCTAATTTTTGTAGATTTTAATAGTGGTCGGGTTTCACTGTGGGTCTCGATCTCCGTGACTTGGTGATCCGCCCGGCCTCGGCCTCCCAAGTGCTGGGATTACAGGCGTGAGCGAAGGCCGCGCGGCGCGGGTTCTGTGTGGTTTTTTTCCAAATGGGGGTGCTCTCTCTGCGCACCCAGGCTGAGTGCAGTGGCACGCATTTTGGCTCATTGCAACCTCCACCCTTCCAGGTTCAAGCGATTCTCCTGCCCTTAACCTTCCCTAGGGAGCTGGGACTACAAGGCACACGCACCACTAGGTCCAGCTAATTTGTTTGTTTGGTGGTTTTTTTGTGTTTTTTTTTTTTTTTTTGTAGAATGGCATTTCGCCCATGTTGGCCAGTTGCTGGTCGTGAACTCCCTGACCTCAAGTGATCCACCGTCGGTCCTCCCAAAGTGCTGGGGATTACAGGTGTGAGCACCACTCCGGGCCTCAAGGTGATGTTTTTGAGTTGAAGGAGACAGATGATACGCATACTGTGAGCTTGATGCTTAGTGTCCAGATAGTGTTGGTGAAGAAAGGCATTCTGAGTTGCTGATGATCATGTTGCATTTCTTTTTTTTTTTTTTTTTTTCTTTGAGACCAAAGCTTCGCTCTGTCGCCAGGCTGGAGTGCATGGCCGGAATCTGCACTCACTGCAAGCTCCGGCCTGCCCGGGTTTACGCATTCTCTGGCCTCAGTCCTCCTTTAGGTAGCTGGGCACTACAGGCACCGGCCACCACGCCCGGCTAATTTTTTGTATTTTGCTTGTAGAGACGGGTTTCTCACCCATGTTAGCCAGGATGGTCTCGATTTCGCTGACGTCCGCGGTCTCGGCCTCCCAAAGTGGCTGGGCATTACAGGCTGAGCCACCGCGCACGACTCCGATTCATTTGCATGTCATTACCAACCCATCTTCCCCCTAGAGATAGTACAGGCAGGAGACTGACTGTATCTCTGTCCTATCCGGCAGGTCCTTGAAACCTCTGAATTATTCAAAATGACAGTGCATATGGCGGTATAAAGGAGTATTTTATTACATTCATGGGGACAACTGGAGGATTAAAATAAGAGTTTGGAATCTGGGATGGAGAGGAGACAAGCAGTACACACTGGTGAGATAACACAAACAAAATTAGGCAAGATGCCAGTCAGTATCCTAATTCTAGAGGCACTAAGCTTAGATATGTAAGTTTAGTAAAAAGTAAACCCAATTAAACAGAATCATCTGCATGGTGAGAATACGGATTCTTTTTTCTTTTTGCTTATATTGTCTAAAATTTTTACTATCATGAACCTTTTCCTTATTTATTTTATACATACATATATATATATATACACACACACACACACACATTTTTTTTTTTCTTCTTTCTTCTTGGCAGACGCAAGTCTTGCTCATTGTCTTCCCCACGGCTGGAGTGCGCAGTGGCGTGATCTTGCGCTTACTGCAAGCTTCGCCTCCTTGGGTTCAACGTTGATTCTCCCTCCGTCAGCCCGCCCGCAGTAACTGGGATTCACGCGCCATGCCACGACCGCCTTGGCCTAATTTTTGTATATTTTTACCTTAAGATGGCGGGTTTCAACCATGTCCTGGCAGCGCTGGTCTAGCACGTCCTGACCTCAAGGGTCCACCCCCGCCCTCAGCCTCCAAAGTGCGGATACCAGGCGTGAGCCACCAACTGCCCGGCCCTATTATGTATGTGCTATATATACCTACACCTCATAACATTACTTTTTTTTTTTTTCCTTTTTTTGAGACCGGAGTCCTAGTTGTCACCCCAGGCTGGAGTGCACGTGGCGGATCTCAGTTCACTACAAGCTCGCCTCCTCGTCACGGCCATCCCTGACCTCAGCTACCTAGTAGCTGGACCTACAGGCGCCTGCCACCTGCCCAGCTAGTTTTTCGGTATTTTCTTACGTAGAGACGGGGATTTTCATCGTCGTTGTCAGGATGGTTATCGATCTCTGACCTCATGATCGCCTGTCTGCCGGTCTCCAACGAGTGCTGGATTCCACAGGCTGAGCCACCCGCAACCAGGCTTCTTCTTTCTTTTTTTGAGGTAGAGTGCTTCCGCTCGTTGCCCAGGCCTGGAGTTGCAGGTGGTCGCAATTCTCGGCTTCACCGGCAAGCATGCCAGGTTCACAGATGAAATCTTGCCTCAGCTCCAGTAGTCTGACTGACAGGTGCCCGCACCAGGCCTGCTAATTTTTGTTTTTGTATTTTTACGTAGAGACCGGTTTCACATGTAGCCAGGATGGGTCTTCTCAGTCTCCTCGACTCATCGATCTAGCCCGCCTCAAGGCCTCACCAAAGTGCGCTGGGATTCACAGGTGATGACGCCACTGCACCACCTAATAGTATTATTATTTAAACAATAGACACCAGGGTCCTCACTATAAGTTGCCGCAGGCTGGTCTTGAACTTCCTTGGTTCCAAATGATTCTTCACGCTTGGCCTCTCAAACATAAAGGTGCTGGATTGCCGGCATGCTGCCCCACACCTGGACCAAGTTGTTTAGTTCAAATGTCGCGCAACGCAGAAGCAGACATCAGAGCACCAGATAGGCCTGGGCTCTAGAGCCCCACGACACCCGTTCTTAGCCAGCAGCCAGGTGGTATCGGGCAGATCAACCTACCCTCCTCTACATTCCACACACTGATCTACTTCTAAAAAAATAAAGAACGAGATTAGGTCCGGCGAGTTGGTGGCTCATGCCTGCTAATCCCAGCACTTTGTGAGGCCTGCAGGGCACGGAGGAGGTGCCTGAGCCCCTGGAGTTCAGACCACGCTCTGGGCCAATATAAGCGACCGACCCTGTCTATATTTCTTTAAAAACGAAGCAGCTGGGCGCAAGTTGCTTACCCTGATAATCCCTAGGCACTTTGGGAGGCCGAGGCGGGCGGACATGAGGTCAGGTCGATCAAGACCATCATGGCTAACATGGTGAAACTCTATCCTCTACACTTAACAAAAAAACAACAAATTAGCCAGGCGTGGTCGGTGGGCCGTAGTCCCAGCCTACTCACGGAGGAGGCAGGAGAACATCGCGTCGAACCTGGGAGGCGGCAGCTCTGCAGTGAGCTGAGACCTGCACCACTCGCACCTCCACCGCCTGGGCAACAAAGCGATACTCAGTCTCAAAAAAAATAAACTAAATAAAAACTAACATACAGAGAAACAAGAACCCTAGAATATATCTTGTCTTCTAGAGGATGCAACCCTAAAGTCAAGCCTCGAAGTGCCTGCATCGTGGGGAGTGCTGGCTAAGTGCTTGCTATTATTTCTGCCTTCTGCTGTTATTGACATATGCTGGATTAGACAATGGTTGCCTACAAACTGGACGAGCCTAAGAAAGACCCGCCACACTGCGACCTCTCTTTTTTTAACTCCCCTCTGCCCCGCCCAGTGGTCACATCTCGGCTCCACGGCAACCTCCACCTCCCAGGTTCAAGCAAGATTCTCCTGTCTCAAGCCTCCCGAGTAGATGGGACTACAGCGCTGCCACTATGCTTGGATAATTTTTGGTATTTTTAGTAGAGATGGGGTTTCACCCATGTTGGCCAGCTGGTCTCAAACTCCTGACCTCAAGGTGATCCACCCGTCTCAGCCTCCCAAAGTGCTGGGATTACAGACGTGAGCCACCGTGCGTGGCCTGAGGAAGAATCTAGGAAGATACTTGAGATAAGGCAGAAGAAACTCGAGAAAGGAGGAAGACTGAATATGACAAAGCTTACCCCCTGAAATCAGCAAACAGTGAAATGAGAACCAAATGTCGCATTGAGACTGACATGAATAAGAAAGTTTTCTTTTAAAAATAGCAGCTCCTAATTGGATCCAGGAAAGATCATTCACCACACGCAGTCATTTGGCTCTTGTTTACCCACCCACCCTGCCCTTTTTTTTTTTTCCACAAAAAAAGAAGAGACTCAAAGAAGATTTCTTCTGAATGTGTATCACCATTTATTGTAGTTTGCGTTAGGAATTGAACAGAGGACATTGTCTGTGGAGGGGAAAAAAGGAAAAGAAAAAAGAAAGTATGTTTTTTATAGACTTAATTTCTTCAGAACACTTTATGGTTTGAAATCCTTTTTTACCCCAAAGGAAATTCAAGAATTCAAGTATGTTAAGTAGGGAGCGGTAATACGAAAAGTCTGATACTTGTGTGCGCGTGTGGCTGTGTTTGTCTGTGTGTGTTGAAACCGGCAGACATACTCCCACATTCTTGCACCCTCTTTTGCTTTGGTAAGGCCAAACACATCATACAAATGACCCTGCCTCAAACTCACACACCCAAGGGTTGAGGAATTGATTTACCCCCAGAGGATAACTGTGAAGGTTTCGAACTGTCACATAGCATTAAAAAAAAAACAAAAACAAAAACAAAAACAAAAAACCCAACCCTCATCTTCCCAAAATACGGTAAGTCACATAAGTCCTGATACACTGACACCCCTAGATTTTGCTGCAGTTGCTCCTCAGGTGCCTAATAGAGGCTTATTACAAGGACCAGAGCAGCAAGATTTTCTTTATTTTGTTTAGAATAAAAAAATCTTAAAGGGACATTTCAAAAGAAAAAAAACTGAAATTCAAATTCTGAAAATATCTTGCCTTTTTTATTAATCATGTCATCTAACACCAATTAAAAAAACAAATATGTGAATATGATATAAAAATACGATCCCAGGATGAACACTTGGTAGCAGGCACAGTTATCTCACAGAATATATGTTTGGTGGGCCGGGGAAAGGGGTTTACTTCTGTTTTTGCTTCTCTTAAAAAGATCCACAGCAGTGCAAGTAGGGTCAGGAAGGGGGAGAGGGGAGAAAAGATTCTTTAGCAGCAAAATGTCCAAGGTTCTCTAATCACAATCAAATCAACGGATATTGGATTAAAAAAAAATTCATGAAGGGATGCTGCCCAGACCCATCAGCCATCACTAAAAGACTTCAGTTGCCCCAAACTGTGACATACGAAGGACGTGCTTTATTACACAAGCAACCATAAAACCTGTCCTTTAAGCTTTTGAGCGTGTTTGTCACTTAAATATATGTACAGGAACCGGGCTCCTCTTCTCATCCGTGTCCTTCCAGGTCTCAGCATTTGCTCGCTCTGGGTGGGCCTGGGTGGTTTGCCACATTTGGCCTCCAACACGTGAATGGCAGCTTTGCTGCGGCCGCTGCTTCTGCTTGCCTCGTTGGCCTTGGCTGTGTCTAGCAGAGGGCGGGCGGCGGAACGGTTTAGTGATCGCTGTTCTGTTTCTCTCTCATCCATGCCTGAATCTGCTCTTTCAGTTCTGGCACTGAGAAAAGAAAAAAAGGAGGATTAATGCCCCAGATGGGAGGGCTCCTCCTGAGAGAGGATGCCTGTCACTCTGTATAGATGGGAAGAAAAGGCCATTCATTCCCTCATTGAGCCGAAGACTGCAGAAGGACTGGGACGAGAGGGAGGGACTGGACGTCTACAGGGAAAAAAGGCCAAGAGTGTTTTGGGTCTTTGCTACAGAGTGTCATAAACTAGGTAGTTTCTGCATTTGATAAATTTCCCTTCTGTTTCATCTCCGATATGTGACTTGGGCATTGTCTCTTGGCACTGATGCCAGCGCTGCGCCTCGAACTGCGCCTTCCTCTACCTGGTTCCAGCATGCTCTCTGTCAGCGTCTGCCGGTTGAAGGGGTCCGTGGGGGAGTTGAGCAGGTGCCGCAGGATAATGGAGCGGTCCATGATGGTGCCGGAGGGCAGCCGCACGGGGTCAGTCATGAGGGTGTCCATTAGAGGGTCTGCAGGGACAAAGCAAAGCAAACTCTAATAAGAGAGCCCGAGACTGAAAAAGAAAACAAAGCTCCTTCTACTGGCGAAAAATCTATCCAAAGGAACAGCAATCAAAGGGCCCCTGAGAGGCCCCCAGGTTTAGAAGGAAATCAGCCTTCAATAAAGGCATATACATTGCCTTTTGTAGAGGCGAAGGCACTCCTTTGTCAGCTACTGCTGGGGGAGGGAACAGAGAAGAAAGGGCCTGGGACAGACCCAGCAGCAGGCCCCACAGGCTCCGTGGGGAGGACGGCAGGCTGGAATCCTTTGCCTTAGGACTTCTGGGAATTCTTCTTTGAAAATGTGAATCCCCACTCGCAAAGGCAGCCCTGCCCTTAGAATCTTCAGGGCTGTTCTCTGGCTTTAAGTCAGGCTAACGATGTTTCTTCCTCTCAATTTACAATATGAGCTAAAAATAGGCAAATGTAATTTAAGACAGATTGCCTCAAAAAGCAGCTCTAGCGCACCATTAAAAAATTAATAGCACAGGACGTCCTCTTGTAATGTTATCGATTTCCAGTTAACTCAAAAGAAATCAGCATAAAAACGACGAGTCCACTTGCCTCTGAACTCATCAGGAGCGTCGCTGTAGTCAATTTCTGCGCGTGCATTCTTGGCCACTATCTCCTCCACTTTCTCGGCGAGCAGCTTAAATTTTTCTATCGCTATTGTGGATTTGATCCCTGCCTTCCGCATCTTTGAAATTACTTCTTCAAACAACTCCTTACTGTAGGATCTCTGCAAAGGAGGAATGGCAACGTGAGACGTAAAGGTATGTGAGGTGGAAAAAAGCGAGCTGCAGAAAATATCCAAAGTATAATCCATTTGTGGATTTTCCCCCCCTTAAGCCCTAAAATTATATATACTTATATATTTTATATATCCCAGTCTTTATGCATTTATAGCCATATAAAAGTATGCACTTTTCATGCTTACAAATGGATAAGGACTGGAATAATATGTGCCAAACTGTACGAGGTCACTCCCTCTGGAGAGGGCTGCAGGCCTGAGGCAGATGGGGTTTTTTTTTTTTTTTTTTTGAATTTTTACAGCTGGCATGCATTTCTTTTAAAGCTTCAACATTATAAAGAGAAGGAAAGCTAGTCTATTTCAGTCCTTGGGGGGACACTGTGCCCTGCTAGCCTGTAAGAAGAGGTGAAAATTTCAGCTCTCTTCCACAAAGGTAAGCATGGTAAAAACAATCCACTATTGTTCATACTCTAGATGAGCTTTCTCTTGTTCACTTTTAAGCCTCCTTCAAGCTCATTTTGTTCAGCACAGCACATGTCAGGGGCTCCATGGACGTGAGACCACCCCGGTGAACTGATGAACAGGACCGGGAACAGACACAATTTATGTCCCCAGGAAGGGAAGATGTGGAGTGGAGGATGGGCGCCCACCATGGACCCAGACAAATCTGAACTTGGATTCTGGTCCTACCACCTACCAGCTGTGCGGTCACAGGCAAATGTGAACCCTCCTGAGCCCAGGCTCTTTGAGTGTAAAATGGGCAGAGTAACATCTGCCTCACAAGTGTCTAATTCACAAAAATGACTGCCATGCCAAATAGCAAAGTATGTTGTAGTTTGTATTCATAGTAAAACACATATAGCAGAAACACTGGCCACTAGCTTAGTGATGATATATATTTGTATTGGTATCACCATCGCGAAACAAGTGGCCAGTGTTTTGGCCACATATGTTTTACTATAAATATATATATGTATTTTGAGACAGAGCTTCATTCTGTCGCTCAGGCTGGAGTGCAGGGGTACAATCATGGCTCACTGCAGCCTCAAACTCCTGGGCTCAAGCAATCCTCTCACCTTAGCCACCCAAGTAGCTGCGACTACAGGTGCAAGCCACTGTGCCCAGTTCATTTTAATTTTAATTTTTGAGACGGAGTCTCACTTTATCACCCAGGCTGGAGTGCAGTGGCACGATCTCAGCTCGCTGAAGCCTCCGCCTCCTCGGTTCAAGAGATTTTCCTGCCTCAGCCTCCTGAGTAGCTGGGATTACAGGTGTGCGCCACCATGGCTGGCTAATTTTTTTTGTATTTTTAGTAGAGACAGGGTTTTGCCATGTTGGCCAGGCTGGTCTGGAACTCCTGGCCTCAGGTGATCTGCCCACCTTGGCCTCCCAAAGTGCTGGGATTACAGGCGTGAGCCACTGTGCCCGGCCTAAACCTCTTTTCTTTATAAAGTACCCAGCCTTGGATATTTCTGTAGAGTGATGCAATGGACTAACACAAGAATATCTGCAAATCATATATCCAATGATATGATATCACCTAGCATCCAGAATACAAAAGAACTCTTCTGGTTGGGCGCGGTGGCTCACGCCTGTAATCCCAGCACTTTGGGAGGCCGAGGCAGGCGGATCATGAGGTCAGGAGATCGAGACCATCCTGGTTAACATGGTGAAACCCCATCTCTACTAAAAATACAAAAAAAATTAGCCAGGCGTGTGTGTGCACACCTGTAGTCCCAGCTACTTGGGAGGCTGAGGCAAGAGAATTGCTTGAATCTGGGAGGTAGAGGTTGCAGTGAGCCGAGATCATACCAATGCACTCCAGACTGGACAACAGAGCGAGACCCCATCTCAAAAAAAAAAAAAAGAAAAAAAAAAAGAACTCTTCCAACTCAACAACAAAAATACAAACAACCCAATTAAAAAATTGTCAAAGAACATGAATAGACATTGCTCCCAAGAAAACATAAAAATGGCCAGCAAGCACATGAAAAGGTGTCCAATGGTATTTGTAATTAGGGAAATACAAATCAAAACCACCATGAAATACCATGTCACTTCTACTAGCATGAGTATTTAAGAAACAAAAACAAATTAACATGTTTAATTTAAACTTCATGATGGAAAGAATATAAAGCAAACAAAAGAAAGAAAATGAGAAAGAATGGAAACTTAAACCTTATACATTGCCAGTGGGAATGTCAAATGGGCAGCAGCTGTCGAAGACACTCTGGCATCCCTCAGAAAGTTAAACATGGAATTACCACATGACCCAACAATCCCACTCCCAAGTGTATTCCCAAAATAACTGAAAACAGGTGTTTAAATACTTGTACACGAATGTTCACAGCAGCACTGTTTACAACAGCCAAAGGCTGGCGACAACCCAAATGTCTATCAATGGATGAGGATGAACAGATGGTGGTATATCCATACAACGAAATAGTATTCAGCCATGAAAAGGAATGAAATTCTGATACATTCTACAACACAAATGAACCTCGAGACATGATGCTAAGTGAAATAAGCCAGACCTCAAAGGTTACACACTGTATAAGTCCATTTATATGAAATATCCAGGATAGGTGAATAAGTAAATCCAAAACTAGGAAAAGAGAGACAGAAAGCAGATTTGTGATTGCCAGGGGCTGGGGCAAGAGGTCTAGACAGTGACTGCTTTAAGCTTTTCCTTTCAGGGTGATACATGTTGTGGAACTAGGTAGAGGTAGTGGCTGTGCAATGCTGTGACTGCACTACATGCCACCAAATGGTACACTTTCAAATGGTTACTTTTATGTTACATATGAATTTTACCTTAATAAAGAAGAAAAAATTAACAGAAAATGAAGCATTAAATTTGTGAGATGCAGACTCGTATTGTGGTAGGTTAGTGGAGGGAGCAATTAACTTAGGAAAGACTGACTGCATGGGGGGAAGCGTGACTTTGATGGGATTTTTATTTTTTTTATTTTCTAAGCAGATGCTGAATCTTTTTTCTTTTTTAATGGAAAATGGTGTTAACAGACAATGCTTCATCGACAACAGATATGCAGTCTGTCCACGGAACTGGCGTCTGCCCATAAAGGCACAGTCTAGGCCACTTTAACATCTCCCTATCCTGGTCCTCTTGGCTCCTGGGACCAATGTGATATCCCACTTCTCTGGCGTGGAGCTCGGACCTCAGATTCCTGAGCATCAAGCTCAGTGGCTCTTCATCCAGGTACCTTTTTTTTTTTTTGAGATGGAGTCTCGCTCTGTTGCCCAGGCTGGAGGGCAGTGGCATGATCTTGGCTCACTGCAAGCTCCGCCTCCCAGGTTCACGCCATTCTCCTGCCTCAGCCTCCCGAGTAGCTGGGACCACAGGCGCCTGCCACCACGCCCGGCTAATTTTTTTGTATTTTTAGTAGAGATGGGGTTTCACCGCATTAACCAGCATGGTCTTGCTCTCCTGACCTCATGATCTGCCTGCCTTGGCCTCCCAAAGTGCTCGGATTACAGGCGTGAGCCACCGCGCCCGGCCCATCCAGGCACCTTTTGGTCAGCCTTCTGGACGTGAGTCTTCAGCCTACTCCTGGTATAGAGGGACAGAAGCCTCTCAGTTTCTTTACCTGCAAGGCTGTCATTTTCTTCTTCCTTTGTCTTCCCAGGAAAACAAGACATACCAAACCAAACCAAAGCCAGCTAAGATACTGCTGCTTCCAAAGGAGAAAATGCAGTTCTATAATCTCTTCCCCAGCGCTTGCCAGCCGTCGTCCATCCTTTTGCACTTACCGCCCCCTGCTCCACCAAAGCTCTCTTCTACAACAATCAAGTAAGCAGGCCCCTAATCAGCTTATGGCCAATATAAACAGAAAATACCCAATAATCAGCATAAACACCACACTGTGAAAGGAAGCAAAAACACTTCTTTTTTTTTTTTCCGAGACGGAGTTTCGCTCTTGTTGCCCAAGTTGTAGTGCAGTGGCGCAGTCTCGGTTCACTGCAACCTCTACCTCCCGGGTTCAAGTGATTCTCCTACCTCAGCCTCCCGAGTAGCTGGGATTACAGGCGCACACCACCATGCCTGGCTAATTTTTTGTATTTTTAGTAGAAACAGGGTTTCACCACGTTAGCCAGGCTGGTATCAAACTCCTGACCTCAGGTGATCTGCCCACCTCGGCTACCCGAAGTGCTGGGATTACAGGTGTGAGCCACCGCACCCAGCCCAACACTTTTTTTTTTTTTGAGATGGAGTCTTGTTGTGTCGCCCAGGCTAGAGTGCAGCGGCGTGATCTCAGCTCACTGCAACCTCTGCCTCCTGGGTTCAAGCTATTCTCTTGCCTCAGCCTCCGAGTAGCTGGAATTACAACTGCCTTCCACTGTGCCCGGCTAATTTTTGTATTTTTAGTAGGGATAGGGTTTCATCATCTTGGCCAGGCTGGTCTCGAACTCCTGACCTTGTGATCCACCCACCTTGGACTCCCAAAGTGCTGGGATTACAGGTGTGAGCCGCTGCGCCCAGCCCCAACACTTCTTAAAATATGCTTTCCTCTCCATGCGTCACTGGCAAGTGTGTGTTTGTTTCACCGCTCTGGAAGAACAGGACTATGTAGACATTCAAGGATCCCTGTGTGCCACTGTGCCAGAAACTGCTGTCTACGACTCAAGCCAGGTGCCACCAGAGGCCAGCACCAGAGTCCAAGGCATGACCAGGCAATGAAATGTGTTGTTGGTCACCAAGGACAGGCCGCTCAAAGCACTCCTTTGTCACCCACTTGCTTTGCATCACCTCACTGGGCGTGCTGTGCCCATCCACACTGAAACCTTCTGTGTGTTACGTTACGTGCCTGTGATGTGGCAGTCACAGCACAACCACCCTGGAGAGGGCGCACACTAAACAGCTCTTCCAAGCCTCTCTACAGTAACGATGGAAGAGCCCCAGGGGCTTTCCACACTGACCTCTGGCTTGGCTGGAGACTCCAGCTACAGTCAGGGGTGGACCCCACCTCAATGGCTAAGTGCTTCCCTTTTCTTTCCCTCACTGCAGGCTATGACTTGCCTTCTGTTTCTAAATCAGTGCAGTATTATATAGTCGGGGGCTAGTAAAGCAGTATATATTTTAACATCTCCTACAAGTAACTACAATTTCCTAACCCTCTTACAGACCACTACTTTGTATGAAAAAACTGCTTTAGACATACAGTCCTGTGTCGCTCTGAGAAATGTCTTGTTAGGCGATTTCGTTGTTGTGTAAACATCATAGAATTTACTTACACAAACCTAGATGGCGTGGCCTACACCACGTCGAGGCTCTATGGTACAGCCTATTGCTCGTGGGCTACAAACCTGTACAGTGTGGGACTGTACTGAATCCTGTCGGCAGTTGTAACACAATGGTGAGTATTCTAAACATAGAAAAGGTACAGTGAAAATACGGTATTATAATATGATGGCGCCACCTGGTCTTTGTGGTCCATCATTGACAGAAACAGCACATGACTATGTATTTTTTTTCCACTGCAAATCCTTTGTTAAGACCACTTCCCCTGCTACATCAGAAAGCACCTAAATATGTGAGTTATAGCTCCATAAAGCTGTCACTAAAAAAAAGTACCTACAATGCTTCTATTGTAACATTATTCCTTTGGATGAGATATGGGTAAAGAACCTTCTAGAATGCCTACTGATGATTAACCTGAGCCATGAATAGTATTTGGGTAAGTAGTGTGAACAAAGACAGAGACAAAGAAACAAGCGTGGTTCTTTGTGGGCTTTTTAAGTGGACAGCAGAGAGACTGAGGATATGGGTTCAAGGCCAGGCTGCCTGGACATCAATCATGCCTCTGTCCCACACTAACTCTCTGACCTTGAGCAAGCTATTTAACCTCTCTGTCCCTCTTTCCTCACTTTAAAACAAAGACTTTAATAGAACCTACACCAAATAATTTTGTGAGGACTAAATGGGTAGAGATGTGAAAAGGGGGTGAAATGCGGTGTACAGTTAATAAACATTAGCTGTGAGGACGTTGAAAATGAGGCAGAACGGACCATGGACAGGGCCAGCCCTTTATGAGATGACTAGAAGATCACACGAGGACAGCTTAGCCTAAATTGGTGGCTGTGGAAATGAAGCACACACAGACAGATCTGCTCACAGGAGAGCCATGGAATAAAGGAGAGGGAAGAAGGTAAAGATAACCACACGAGGTTTTCAATCCGGACAACCCCAAAAATAACAGCATTCTAGCAGGAGACTAGGGAGGAAGATTCTGATCCCTTGAGAAATCGGGCTCTTTTCAGAAATGTAACAGATTTGTCAAGAAGGCCCTTACAAAGATGGGGTAAGAACTCAACTGGAAAGGGATCAGAGCACCAAATCTGCTCTTTACTTTTGTTTTTTACTTACTTATTTATTTTGAGACGGAGTCTCGCCCTGTTGCCCAGGCTGGAGCGCAGTGGCACAATCTCGGCTCACTGAAACCTCTGCCTCCTGGGTTCAAGCGATTCTCCTGCCTCAGCCTCCCGAGTAGCTGAGATTACAGGCATGCACCACCACACCCAGGTAATTTTTTGTATCTTTAGTAGAGATGGGGTTTCACCATGTTGGCCAGGCTGGTCTTGAACTCCTGACCTCGTGATCTGCCCACCTCGACCTCCCAAAGTGTTGGGACTACAGGTATAAGCCACTGCGTTTTTGAGACAGGATCTCACTCTCTCGCCCATTCTGGAGTGTGGTGGTGCAATCATGGCTCACTGCAGTCTGGCCTCAAGCAATCCTCCTGCCTTGGCCTCCCAGAGTGTTGGGATTATAGGCCTGAGCCACCGCACCGAGCCCAAATCTACTCTTCACACTCAGAGGAAAACAACCCATTCATCTTCACTGATACCAGACAAGTTCCCTGGCCACTGTGGTTATTATCTTCAAATCCGCCAGTAAACTCACAGAGAGACCAACTCAACTCACTGACCTGATCGTCAGCAATGGCTTTCGCGAACCGGGCACAGTCCAGCTGTAAGTAAATATCCGTCAGTTGGTCCAACAGCTTCTTTGGTTCAAAGCCGTATTTCTCAGGGTTTTCAACTTTCAGGTCACGGCACTTGGGGCCACAGAGTTGCTGAAGATTAAAGTTCAGCATTGCAGCCAATCGGGGTCCAAGTTCCTAGGAAATCACAGGATAATATGACAATTCATGCTGTTGAGACAAGTGAAAAGGACCAAAACCTCCCATTTCAGTGGAGGAACAGGAATTGGTTGGATTAGTCTTCAAAGAATCCATACAGGTGCTGTGTATCACAAGCTGAAGAAAGACAACATTATATTCCAACTTTACTCCCCATTTCCGATCTGATAATTCTAATACTTAATGGAATGTTGCAGGCTGATGAAATATTTATTTATAAATACCAACAGAAGCCAAACTTTTCTTTAAATTTATGCTTTTAATTTAAAAAAGTATCACTCCAAATTCATTGAGAAACAAGTAAAAGAGAGAAAATTATACAAATCTTACCATTATCTGAGCCAAAAAAGTTTTGAGTCACTTCTTCCAGCCAATATTTCATCAACCTTTTCCCCCTTAAATGTTAAAAGCCCCTGGCGGTTCAGTCTGTGCCATTCTTATGTACTTATCAGATACAGATAACAAAGTAAAGCAAGGAAAGAAGATAGAAGTTATGTCTTGAATAGTTTTAAATCCAGTCAATGAGACAGAGTAAACTTAAATGAAACACCTGGAAAATAATAATAATCTATACAGGAATCTCACAAGGTGACTCAGTACTCACTACGGTTGGGCACGAATGGTTTTAAGCAAACCTGAAACAGGAAGATGTGGCTTAAAGAGCATTAAACACTGGCCATAAAAGGGAGTCATGAAAGCGTTCCTTTCAGTCACAAGGTTTTCATGAAATGTAATAACTGGATTTATTCAAATTCGACATATACTTAGCTTTTCAAGAATTTGCTTTTGCACAGAGTACTCCTGTATTTCACTGTTGAAAAGTTGTAAAATAAAGGAGTCATAACAGGACAGAGTTGGTCATTTTGTTTGAAGTAGAAGAGATCTGAGCTAGTCAGTGAAGAAGGTGAAAATGCAAACCTTAAAGGTTTGCAAAGTGAAATGCCTTTATACTTTGTCTGCGAAGGCCAGATAGTAAACAGTGCAGCAAACGAAATGAAAATATCACAGCAGGCACAGGCACAAGGCTGGAGCCAAAAGAACGGGGCTACGGTGTACAGATGGCTCAGGTCTATGAGCAGGTTTAAAATGAATAAATTTATTTATTTATTTATTTATTTATTTATTTATTTATTTATTTATTTATCACTCTGTTGCCCAGGCTGGAGTGCAGTGGCCGGATCTCAGCTCACTGCAAGCTCTGCCTCCCAGGTTTACGCCATTCTCCTGCCTCAGCCTCCCGAGTAGCTGGGACTACAGGTGCCCGCCACCTTGCCTGGCTAGTTTTTTGTATTTTTTAGTAGAGACGGGGTTTCACCGTGTTAGTCAGGATGGTCTCAATCTCCTGACCTTGTGATCTGCCCGTCTCGGCCTCCCAAAGTGTTGGGATTACAGGCTTGAGCCACCATGCCCGGCCTATTTTTTATTTTTGAGAAGAGTCTTGCTCTGTTACCCAGGTTAGAGTGGCGTGATCTTGGCTCACTGCAACCTGGGTCTCCTGGGTTCAAGTGATTATCCTGCCTCAGCCTCCCAAGCAGCTGGGATTATAGGCACGCCCCACCATGCCTGGCTAATTTTTGTATTTTTAGTAAAGATGGGGTTTTGCCATGTTGGCCAGGCTGGTCTCGAACTCCTAACCTCAGGTGATCCACCCTTCTTGGCCTCCCAAAGTGCTGGGATTACAGGCATGAGCCACCATGCCCGCCTTAGGCCAGGTACTTCTATGCGTGTTTTCGCTTAATCTTCCCAACAAGTCTACAAAACAGGTGGGTGTTGACCTTGTTAAAGAGGAATTAATCAACTATTTGCTATCTGGCTTTCACAGAATTCTGCAAACCTTGAAGGGAGGCCAGTGTCTGGGCAGTGAGCTGTTTTGTTTCGTGTTCCATGGGTCTTGAACTGAAATCTGTTTATGAACAGACATGAGGTGGAAAGTGGAAAGAGTGGAAAAGAGTTGCCCCCAGGACAGGGAGTGGCAATAGTGCCTCTGCTGGAGACGACAGGAGTCACATAATGGAGGTAAGAGCAAATACAGAAAATCAGGGGAAATACACAGTAAGTATATCGTATTCCATTGCAAAGTAAACATGTCTCCACACAGGCAAATGGCTACCAAATCTTAGATCCTCCATCTTGCCTTTCTCACTATACTTGTCCTGGCCACACCACAAAACTTCTCAACTTTGTGGTGGGTGTGGTTGAAGCAGGGCAGAGATCTTCAGTGATGCTGCTCAGTTTCCATTTTAGTAACAGGAACCAGGTCTCGTTAGTTGAGGACAAACATTTTGACTATTTGCAATCCAGCATAAACCTTAGTGATGGCCGGCTCTCAGTAACCTTTGGCTTCCTGAGTGTAACAAAGGTACAACTGAGAGAACCAAAGATCTTACACAGTCTCAGTGATTCTACTTAATATCCTTCCATTGTCACCGGCTGTTACCTTATGCTTTTTCTATAAATAAAATATAGGAATCAATAATGGTAAAAATATGTCATGACATCAACATGAATAATCCAACGTACTGTCTAAGCAGAAAGTGCACTAAGGCATTTGGAAGTGGCTGTAGACTATGTGGTGACATCAGACATCTACTCTTCAGTCCATCAACAGAGTCTGGTATCAACTAGCATAACTGGGAACAAAATCAGTAACAGAATTTCACTTATTGGTGACTATGATACTAAAATTTCCAGGACTTCAACAACTGCTGAAGTTATAAGTGAGACAGTCTGAATGTGAAGTCCAAACCACCAAACAGAGCCCCTGGTTTCTACTCACCGGTCTGAGGAAGGGCTTCTGGACCTGCTTTGTGAGGATGTGGAACATGTCCACAGTTTCGGTGGCCAGGGCGAGGTAAGAGCGGGACACGCGCTCATCCTGAGCAAGCTGAGACTGACGGGCCTGCTGCTGATCCTAGGACACATCGAACAATCGCCAAGTAAGGCTTGGTCCTGGTCATCAGCTCAGCAAAGCGCCAAGCGCATAACTGGAAAGTGCGCAATAAATCCAACATGCTTAGGGAATGATGGAACCGCCCACCACAGCAAATTTCCCAGGTAACTGAAGTTTCATCCCAGATAACTGAAGTTTCATCCTTTCAGCCTCGGAGCTCTTTGAGACTTCCAGCCAGGTGACATTGGTGCCTTATTTACCTCCCATGAGCCTCTGCTTCCTCAATGATAAAAGAAGTCACCATCTACTGGGTGCGGTGGCTCACGCATGTAATCCCAGCACTTTGCGAAGCCGAGGTGGGCGGATCACAAGGTCAAGAGATCAAGACCATCCTGGCCAACATGGTGAAACCCCCATCTCTACTAAAAATACAAAAATTAGCTGGGGATGGTGGCTCACAGCTGTAGTCCCAGCTACTCAGGAGGCTGAGGCAGGAGAATTGCTTGAACCCAGGAGGCGGAGGCTGCAGTGAGCTGAGATCACGCCACTGCATTCCAGCCTGGTGACAGAGCCAGACTCCGTCTCAAAAAAAGAAAGTCACCATCAACTTCTATGCAGGATGAAATAAGAGAATCGAATATAGTATCTGACACACATCATGGTACTAAGAAAGGGCAGTTTATTTCCCTTAATAATAACTTTTACTTAGTCATCATCATTATTATTTGTTGAGATGGAGTTTCGCTCTTGTTGCCCAAGCTGGGGTGCAATGGCGCGATCTCGGCTCACCACAACCTTTGCCTCCCAGGTTCAAGCAATTCTCCTGCCTCAGCTTCCCGAGTAGCTGGGACTACAGGAATATGTCACCGTGCCCGGCTAATTTTATATTTTTAGTAGAGATGGGGTTTCTCCATGTTGGTCAGGTTGGTCTCGAACTCCCGCATGTCAGGTGATCTCCCTCCTGAAGTGTTGGGATTACAGGCGTAAGCCACGGTACTCGGCCTTCTATTATTATTATTATTATTTTGGAGATAGAGTCTTGCTCTGTCACCCAGGCTGGAGTGCAGTGGCACAGTCTTGGCTCACTGTAACCTCTGCCTCCCGGGTTCAAGTGATTCTCATGCCTCGGCCTTCCAAGTAGCTGGGATTACAGGTGTGCGCCACCATGCCTGGCTAACTCTTTGTTGTTGTTATTTATTTATTTATTTATCTTGAGACAGGGTCTCACTCTGTTGCCCAGGCTGGAGTGCAGTGGTGGGATCTTGGCTCACTGCAATCTCCGCCTCCCGGGTTCAAGCCATTCTCCTGCCTCAGCCTCCTGAGTAGCTGGGATTACAGGTGCATGCTACCATGCTTGGCTAACTTTTGTATTTTTGGTAAAGATTGGGTTTTTTGCCATGTTGGCCAGGCTGGTCATGAACTCCTGACCTCAGGTGATCCATCCACCTCGGCCTCCCAAAGTGCTGGGATTACAGGCGTGAGCCACTGTGACTGTTCTCATTTTTGTATTTTCAGTAGAGATGGGGTTTCACTATGTTGGTCAGGCTGGTCTCAAACTCCTGAGCTCAAGCGATCTGCCCACCTAGGCTTCCCAGAGTGCTGGGATTACAGGTGTGAGCCACCATGCTCAGCCAGTCTTCATTATTTTAAAACTATGAGATGCAGTGTGCTACAGTATTGAGGCCTATGGGGTCTGCCTCTCTGCCTCTATAAGTGTCTGTGTACTACTAAGCTTTTTAAATTTTGTCTTTCCACACTGTGAGGCTGTCACACCACAGAACTGTCAGCATGCTTGCCTCTGGCGCAGTCTCCTCCTTCAACTCTGCCATGGACTGGGGAGGAGATGATAAGAGCTGTTTGACTCATGGATACAATCAGGTACTGCAGCACTGCAGGCTCTGAAATGGATACAATCAGGTACTGCACTGCAGGCTCTGAAACGGATCAAACACAGACCCACCAGGAAAAGCCTCAATTCTTACATCTGTTCGGAGGCCTTTTCTTGTTGGGAAAGGAACACAGCTGGAGTAGCTGAAGCTGGCTAGTGAGTGCCCTCTGGGTAAGTGCTCCAGTCTGCTTGATAGACATTCTGCAGGGATACTGGGGGGCCTGCCGTTCCCTGGCCAAGAATGAGTCCACTGAAAGAAAGGCAGCGCCAGGAAAGACACACGAACAGCCAGGCGTGAACTACCTAAATGTGTACCTGGGTGTCTCAACAGGCCTTTCCTCAGCCTTTGGGTACTGGAGATAGAATAATAAGGCTCCCAACCCTCATGCAGCTTAGATTCCATTAGGGAGGATCGCTTCATAGAAACAAATACCCTAACAGATACAGTAAGTCTGACAGTGATGAGGAAAAATGAAGCAGGGTCAGGGGTCAGGGAATGCTACTCTGGAAAGGGTGGTCAGGGAAGGTCTCCCTGAGGGAGTGCGTATCTGAAGGAGTCAGGAAAATCTGGGGGGAAAAGCATTCCAGGTAGGGGGAAGAGCAGGTGCAAAGGCCCTCATGTGTCAGTGGAAGGGCCAGGAGGTGAGTCTGGCTGGGGTAGAGTGAGTGGAGGAGAGACTGTCCGAAGCTGAGAGCAGAAACACATTGTGGTGCCAGGTCCTGCTGAGTGCTGTAGGCTGCTCTCGTCATGGGATTCGGCTCTGAGTGAGAAGGGATGCCCAGAATGGCTGAGCTGAGTGGTGATATTGATCAGACTGAGATTTTTTTTTTCTTTTTTTTTTTTTGAGACAGAGTCTTGCTCTATTGCCCAGGCTGGAGTGCAGTGGCGTGATCTCGGCTCACTGCAAGCTCTGCCTCCCGGGTTTACGCCATTCTCCTGCCTCAGCCTCCCGAGTAGCTGGGAGTACAGGCGCCCGCCACCTCGCCCGACTAGTTTTTTTGTATTTTTTTAGTAAAGACGGGGTTTCACCATGTTAGCCAGGATGGTCTCGATCTCCTGACCTCGTGATCCGCCCGTCTCGGCCTCCCAAAGTGCTGGGATTAGAGGCTTGAGCCACCGCGTCCGGCCCAGACTGAGATTTTTAACACCATCCCTGATATGGACATGCTCAAGAGTAGAGGTTGAAGACCAAGCAGTGGGCTACTGCAATAATCCAGGTAAGAGATGCCAATGGTCTGGAGGTGGTGAGAAGAGGTTAGATAATGGACATACTTTAAGACAGAGCCTAGAGGCATTTGCTGAGAGACGCAGAGAAATCAAGAACAACTCCAAAGCATTGAGCCTGAGCAGCTGGTAGAACGAAGGCGCAATTTACTGAGATTGGGCAGACTCAGGCAGGAGATGTGGACAACATCAAGGTTCTGTTTTGGATGTGGTGAGTTTGAGACACCTATAGACACTTGTAGACAAATACTTGGTCTACAAGCCTGTAGTCAGGTGAAATCTGAGCTGGGGAGATCCATTCTGGAGTCTTTAGAATATAGGTATTTAACGCCTTGGAATACCTGAGCTCACCAAGCAGTGATTTTCACCAGGGGACATCGGGTTATGCGTGGGAGTGTTTCTCGTTGCCTGATGGCTGGGGGTAGGAGGGTACATCCCTGGCATTAAATGGCACGAAATAGAGATTCTGTATGTCCTGCAATATATGGGATGGTTTTTCATCATGAGTTATTATTATACCAAATTCCACTAGGCTCAAAATTCCAACTAGTGCCCTCGCTGAGAAACACTAACCTAGAGAGCACTAGTGGGAAAGAAATTGAAGCCTGAGGGTCGAGTGCCGGAGCTCACCAAGCACAGACGTCAGGAGATGAGCAGGAACAGCCAAGGCAGTGGGAGGGAGAAAGCGACTTCAAAGCCAAATAAAAATTATTTCTGAAATAGCAATTGCTGGAACTATTTGTGCCTTTTTCATCCATTAACAGAGGAAAAATCAGTATTATTTGTTCAGTTGGCTCATAAACAAATGCTATTAAGTATTGACTACGACTGTGCTATAGACCTGCATTCCAACATCTAAAATATACACTGGCCGGCCATGGTGGCTCACAACTATAATCCCAGCATTTTGAGAGGCTGAGGTGGGAGGACTGCCTGAGGCCAGGAGGTTGTAGGCTGTAGTGAGCTAAGATCTGCCATTGCACTCCAGCCTGGGCGACAGAGCAAGACTCTCCTTCTTCCCTTCTTTTTTTTTTTTTTTTTTTTTTGAGACAGAGTCTCGCACTGTCGCCCAGGCTGAAATGTAGTCGGCAATGGTATGCACAGCTCACCTATAACTCCTCCACTTCACTGGGTTCAAGTGATGTCTCCCACCCTCACGCTCCCAAGTAGCTGGATTACAGGCGCCCCGCCACGATGGCGTGGCTAATTGTTTCTGTATTTTAGTAGACTCACTGGTTTTATGCAGTGCCCAGGTTGGTCTCAAACCTCCTGAAACCGTCAGTGATCTGCCGGCCACCGGCCTCCAAAGTGTCTGAGATTATACAGGTTGAGCCACTGTCCCAGTCAAGACTCGTTTCTATTAAAAAAAAAAATAATAACCGGGCCACGGTGGCTACATGTCTGTCACACACTTTGGGAAGCCGAGGGTCCGGTGGATCGCCTTCTGAAGGCCAGGAGTTTCAAAGGCCACCTGGTCAAGCATGGCAAAACCCATCGCTACTATCTACTAAGAAATACAAAAATAGCCAGGTGGTCGTGGTGCAGCGCTGTAATCCCAGCAGGCAGAAATTGAGCCAACGATGGCCGCACGGTAACTCCAGCCTGGTGACAGAGGTAAAGACTCTCTCAAAAAAATAAAACAAAACAAAAACAAAATAAAAATAACAATTTAATAATCAAAATAATAAGTAAATAAAGAAGATGACCAACTTGGGAAAAACTAGCATAAATATCAAAAATATTAAAATATATATTGTTTTAATATTTATTTATTTGGACGGAGCGCGCGCGCGCACCCAAGGCTGGGAGTGCAGTGGCACGATCTGGCTTACGCCAACCTCCACCTCCTGGTTCAAGCAAATTCTTCTGCCTCAGCCTCCCTGAAAGCTGGGACTTGCACAGCGTGTGTGCCACCACGTCCAGCTAATGTTTTGGTATTTTTAGTAGAGACGGGCTTTCACCATGTGGCAGATCGGTCCTTGATGCTCTGACCTTGTGATCACCTGCTTCGGCCCCAAAATGCCTGGAATTATACGCGCATGAGCCACCGCCCGGCCTAATATTGATGTTTTAAACGGATGGAATACACTTATCAATTTGCATGTCCATCTCAAGCAGGCCATGTAAATCTTCTCTGTATTTTTTCCAAAATGTTAGTAATACGTGCCTGAAAGCCAAGCATGTGAGAACTTGTCTCCTGTAAAAAAAACCTTTTTTAATTAGCCAACGTGGGGGTCATGCTTTTAGATCCAGCATTCTGGGGAGGCTGAGGCAGGAAGGACCCACTTGAGCCCAGAGTTGAGGCTGTGGTGTACTATGATCCTGGCACCACTGCACTCCAGCCAAGGCATACTAGATCAAAACTCGTCCTCTATTTATTAATAAAATAAAAAACAAATAAGTAAATAAAAAGAAAGCGGCAGTAACCCAAGCACTGTGAATGGGTATATAAGTGGGTGTTACAGATAAGGAGAAACTGAGATTTTCCAGCTATGCCTGATTGGCTGAAGACAAACCCCTGAGTGAGTGTATGTGATAGGACCTGTACTCAGAGAAATGGGAGAAACGTTAATACATAAAGAAAAGCAGTGTATGAAATGGGAGCTAAACACACTGACAGAGATGGGAACAATTAGCACTGGGGGCGGGGAGTGAGGGAGAAGCAAGGTTGAAAAACTACCTATTAGCGTATTATGGCTCACTCCCTGGGCGACAGGTTGAATCATAAAACCTCAAGCATCCCAACAATGATACCACCCACATACAATGCCATGTACCACCATTCCCCTGAATCGAAAAATAAAAGTGAAATTAAAAACAAAAGACAAAACAAATGCGGGCACGGTGACTCACGCCTGTAGTGCCCTAGCACCTTTGGGAGGCGAGCAGATGATCACCTGAGGTTAGGAGTTCAAGACTGCTGGCCAACATGATAAACCCCCGTCTCTACTAAAATACAAAAGCTAAAAACCGGGCGCAATGGCTCACCTGTAAATCCAACACTTGGGAGCCAGGAGGCGGATCAATGAGGTCTAAGGAATCAGACCGATCCTGGCTAACTGGTGAAACAAAGAACATCCACCGAGATCGAGTAAAGGAGGGCGAAAGGCGAAAAGAAACTAAAAATACAAAAAATTAGCCAGGTTGGTGGCAGCCGCCTGTAGTCCCAGCTACTTGAAAGCCTGAGGCAGGAGAATCGCTGTACCTGGGAAAGCAAGTTGCATGAGCCAAGATCGCACCACTGCACTCCAGCATGGGTGAGAAGAGCTAGACTCCATTCCTCAAAAACCAAGATAACAAACAAACAAAATACAAAATTCAGCTGGGCTTGGTGGCAGGCGCCTGTAATCCCAGCTATTTGGAGCTGAGGCGGCGAGAATTCGCTTGAACTGGAGAACTGGGACTTGCAGCTGAGCCGAGATGCACCACTGCACTCCTGCCTGGGCAACAAGGTGAAACCAGGTCCCAGAAAAAAAAAAAAAAAAAAGAAAAAAAAGAAAAGAAAAAGTGAAGAAAAAGCAGTCCTCCCCACTTTGACATGAGAACCCCTTATGGAAATCAGTTCTGATTCTGAGCCTGACAATTCCAAGAACAGAATCAATAAACCTAAGCCAATCTAAGAAGTCACCAGCAACTGTCAAGGGCCTCATAAGCAACCAAGGATGTATCTCAGCTGCTGCTACGCACGTCAGGAAAGAGCACTGGCACTGGCACAGCACGTGTTTTCCATGGAACCTGGCAAGCCAGGCCTCTGTTCTATTAATAACTGAATATAAAACCCAAGATCAACTGAAAGGAAAAAAAACACCCCACCAGGATCCTGAGTGATTCACACAGTTGCCTAGAGAAGCCCATAGGAACAAATCAAATTCTTGTCCAGCAGACATAATTCTAGAGATTTCTTTCCTAATTATGTTCATGAATCTTAATATATTCAGACAATAAAAGCTCTTCTCCAAAAAAGTCCTTTAAAATTAAAAAGGCAGAGAAAGTTTTCAGTGTACATTTTCAAAGACTTCTCAACCCATTTCTTAGCTCCAGATAAGGTGTTTCAGATTTTTCCTATTCCAACCCTGCAATATGATTTCATGGAAGGAAAATCCCAGCAAGTCAGATCGCATATCATCAGACCCACAAATGCAGCCCCAAAGCAGCTCTGCCCGTGTCCGGGGACAGATGGCCCGCAAAGCTGTCCAAGCCTCTGGACCACGTCCTCACCCGGGGCAACTGGTCCCACTGTTCTTTGTTCTTCATCTCTTCCTGCACTTCATGGATTCGCTTCAGAGACTCCAGACTTTCATCAAGCAAAAACGTCGTGTCGTTTATCAACATGTTTATATAGCGAACAAACTGCTTCCCGGAGCTGGAAAGGCAATTATATTGTGCATGGTCATACATCTCCCTGAAGCAAAACGCCACTGCAAATCCCAGGGAACAGGCGCCTCCACCCACACTGCAACTATCTCACCCTAAAAGCCTGCCTACCCTGGCACAAGTCAGGCACTGTGGAATTCAAGGACTACCAAGCTTCTCTTTAGATTTTGTTAATCTTGTTTCTTTTTGAGACAGGGTCTTGCTCTGTCGCCCAGCCTGGAATGCAGTGGCACGATCACAGCTCACTGTATCCTCGACCTCCAGGGCTCAAGCAATCTTCCTGCTTCAGCCTCCTAAGTAGCTGGAACTACAGACACACGCCACCACGCCCAGCTAACTTTTGTATTTTTTGTAGAGACAGGGACTTGTTATGGTGCCAGGGCTGGTCTCAAACTCCTGGGCTCAAGCGTTCTTCCCACCTCAGCCTCCCAAAGTGTTGGGATTACAGAGATGAGCCACTGCACTTGGCCTGGATTTTTGTTATTCTTTTAAATTGTTTATGATAAGCTCATTCCAGTGGTGTTTGGAGCCACCTTGCATGATTGATGACAGTCAAGTGCTAAATATTCCAGAATTTTATAACCAGATTCCTCTGGCACCTTAAATTGGGCAATGGAGGAAATAGTCACACCATGGAAAACCAGCAAATGCTGACTCCCCCACCCCGCTCACCAGAGCAGGCTTACCTAGCTTACCTAGCTTACCCAGTTCACTCCCTCAGTGTTTTTGAGAGAAAACACGTTCTCCAGACTAGAACAGGAAATACGCATATACTCACCAATATACCAAGAAAAAGCAAATAATTAACCACATATAACAGATAACTACTGATATAGTTATTCCTTATCACAAAGACTGACGCACTGAAGAAAAATTGGAACCTGTAATATTGATAAAGTGGGATATTAACTTACTTTAGAACCAGAAGCTTCCAATCTAAGGAACTGTTCTGCAAATCGTGTTATAACGAGAACTTGTCGGTGAACTGAAATAGCTTGGCCTACCTCTGTTAGACTCTGGAGCTGCCAGATTCGTAGAGAAAAAAGAAGCTACACTTCAGGGTCTACAACTGTGCACTTGAGGGGTGGTAAGCCCATGCCTGGGGAAGAGAAGTTCCTGTGAACAGGGACAGGAGGCCTCACTCTCAGGAACATGGTAAGTTCAGGACAAGTGTTCCAATCAGCACCATTCAGAGACCAAGCCATGGGCCTGCCTCGTGTCCTAAGCTTGTGCCAGGCTTTAGCTGGAACACAATTCTGACCATAAGAGCAGTTTATGGAAACAAAAAGTTAAAGAGTTTGCTCCACAGAAATCTATCTAGCAAATAGTTATTCCACTGGTAATATGTATATTATTGACTAGTAATTCGGTTAACAAGTATAGCTAGATTTGATCAAAGATCTAACATGGGTTGCAAAAGATCCAAGAAACGGGATAAAATTATTATTTATTTATTTACTTATTTATTTTTTTCAGAAAGAGTCTTGCTCTGTCACCCAGGCTGGAGTGTAGTGGCGTGATCTTGGCTCACTGCAAGCTCTACCTCCCGGGTTCACGCCATTCTCCTGCCTCAGCCTCCCAAGTAGCTGGGACTACCGGCGCCCGCTACCACGCCCGGCTAATTTTTTATATTTTTAGTAGAGACGGGGTTTCACTGTGTTAGCCAGGATGGTCTCGATCTCCTGACCTCGTGATCCGCCCGCCTCAGCCTGGGTGCTGGGATTACAGGCATGAGCCACCGCGCCCGGCCCTTAGATAGGATAAAATTTTTGAAGAATAATCCAAGAGTTCAGCATCTTCATCTCCCTTTTGTTTTTAGACACTGACAGATAATTTAGATGGGATTACTAATGTCCAGGTTTAAGCAGTCACTCAGATTTCAGGTAGGTATATGAAAAGTCTTTAATTAAGGTTTAGGGCCTTACTACAAAGAATGATACTTTAAATGACAGCTCTGACCTAATTGTTGCAAAATCTAAAGTCCTTCCAACGTTCAAGAACTAAGATTTCATTTCACTCATTTTGACAACTTCATTTAACACTGTCATCATAGAAACACCAAAAAAACACTTAACCCAACATCTCAGCATATTCATAGGATCTTTTCTTTTCTTTCTTTCTTTTTTTTTTTTTTTTTGAGACAGAGTCTCGCACTGTCGCCCAGGCTGAAATGTGAAATGTAGTGGCATGGTATCAGCTCACTCTAACCTCCACTTCCTGGGTTCAAGTGATTCTCCCACCTCAGCCTCCCAAGTAGCTGGGATTACAGGCGCCCGCCACCATGCTTGGCTAATTTTTGTATTTTTAGTAGACACTGGGTTTTGCCATGTTGGCCAGGTTGGTCTCAAACTCCTGACCTCAGGTGATCTGCCGGCCTCGGCCTCCCAAAGTGCTGAGATTACAGGTATGAGCCACTGTGCCCAGTCAAGACTCTGTTTCTATTAAAAAAAAATAATAATAAGGCCGGGCACGGTGGCTCATGTCTGTAATCCCCACACTTTGGGAGGCTGAGGTCGGTGGATCGCTTGAGGCCAGGAGTTCAAGGCCAGCCTGGTCAACATGGCAAAACCCCATCTCTACTAAAAATACAAAAATTAGCCAGGTGTGGTGGTGCATGCCTGTAATCCCAGCAGGCAGAAATTGAGCCAAGATTGCGGCACTGTACTCCAGCCTGGGTGACAGAGTAAGACTCTCTCAAAAAATAAAACAAAACAAAACAAAATAAAAAATAACAATTTAATAATCAAAATAATAAGTAAATAAAAGATATGACCAGCTTGGGAAAACTAGCAATTAAATATCAAAAATATTAAAATATTATATTTTAATATTTATTTATTTGAGACGGAGTCTCGCTCCGTCACCCAGGCTGGAGTGCAGTGGCACGATCTTGGCTTACTGCAACCTCCACCTCCTGGGTTCAAGCAATTCTTCTGCCTCAGCCTCCTGAATAGCTGGGACTACAGGTGTGTGCCACCACGTCCAGCTAATTTTTGTATTTTTAGTAGAGACGGGCTTTCACCATGTTGGCCAGAATGGTCTTGATCTCTTGACCTTGTGATCCACCTGCCTTGGCCTCCCAAAGTGCTGGGATTATAGGCATGAGCCACCACGCCCGGCCTAATATTTATTTTTAAAGGATGGAACACTTTATGAATTTGCATGTCATCCTCAAGCAGGGGCCATGGTAATCTTCTCTGTATTTTTCCAATGTTAGTATACGTGCTGCTGAAGCAAGCATGTGAGAACTTGTCTCTGTAAAAAAAACTTTTTTAATTAGCCAAGCGTGGGGGTGCATGCTTTTAGATCCAGCTATTTGGGAGGCTGAGGCAGGAGGACCACTTGAGCCCAGGAGGTTGAGGCTGTGGTGTGCTATGATCCTGCCACTGCACTCCAGCCAAGGCAACAGATCAAGACTCTGTCTCTATTTATTAATAATAATAAAAAACAAATAAGTAAATAAAATATAAGCTGGGCATACCAAGCACTGTGAATGGTATAAAGTGGGTGTTACAGAAGTAAGGAGAAACGTGAGAATTTTCAGCTATGCTGATTGGCGAAGACAAACCTGAGTGAGTATTTGGATAGGACCTTACTCAGAGAATGGGTAGAACTTTAATACATAAGAAAAGCAGGTATAAATGGGAGCTAAACACATGGACAGAGATGGGAACAATAGACACTGGGGGCAGGGGAGTGAGGGAGGAGCAAGGGTTGAAAAACTACCTATTAGGTATTATGCTCACTCCCTGGGCGACAGGTTGAATCATAAAACCTCAGCATCACATGATACACCCACATAACAAATCTGCACATGTACCCCATTCCCTGAATCTAAAATAAAAGTTGAAATTAAAAAAGAAAAAAAAAATGGCTGGGCACGGTGACTCACGCCTGTAGTCCTAGCACTTTGGGAGGCTGAGGCAGATGGATCACCTGAGGTTAGGAGTTCAAGACTGGCCTGGCCAACATGATGAAACCCCGTCTCTACTAAAAATACAAAAGCTGGCCGGGCGCAATGGCTCACGCCTGTAATCCCAACACTTTGGGAGGCCGAGGAGGGCGGATCATGAGGTCAGGAGATCGAGACCATCCTGGCTAACATGGTGAAACTAAAAATACAAAAAATTAGCCAGGTGTGGTGGCAGGCGCCTGTAGTCCCAGCTACTTGGAAAGCTGAGGCAGGAGAATCGCTTGTACCTGGGAAGCAGAGGTTGCAGTGAGCCAAGATCGCACCACTGCACTCCAGCATGGGTGAGAGAGCTAGACTCCATCTCAAAACCAAATAAACAAACAAACAAAATACAAAAATTAGCTGGGCTTGGTGGCAGGCGCCTGTAATCCCAGCTATTTGGGAGGCTGAGGCGGGAGAATCGCTTGAACTGGAGAAGCTGGGACTGCAGTGAGCCGAGATTGCACCACTGCACTCCTGCCTGGGCAACAAGAGTGAAACTCGGTCTCAGAAAAAAAAAAAAAAAAAACGGCCGGGCGCGGTGGCCACGCCCTGTAGACCCAGCACTTGGAGGCCGAGCGGGGCGAATCACGAGGTCAGGGAGAGACGAGGACCAATCCTGGCTACCCGGTGAACCCCGTCTCTTACTAAAAATGGCAAAAAATTAGCCGGGCCGAGGCGGCGGGCGCTGGAAGTCCCAGCTACTCGGGAGGCCTGAGTCAAGAGGATGCGTGAACCCGGGGAGCGGAGCTGTGCAGTGAGCCGAGATCCGGCGCCACTGTACTCCAGCCTGGGGCGACTAGCGAGCTCGCTGTCCTCAAGAAAAAAAAAAAAAAAAAAAAAGAAGTACGTGCCCTCCAGTAAAATTAAACCTAACTTTTTTATCTGCTGAAGGATGTCATTTTGAGGTGCCATAGATTTTCTGTAAATTAATGACTTAAAATTAGGTGGGGGAGTATGATAATTCAGCTTTTCGGCCGTTGGTAAAGTTGAACGCTGTCCTAAGATGGGCGAGTTTTCCTAGCGCCCGTCCTTTCGGTGGTGTGTGCCAACATCTTCCATTGTGAAACTTTGTCTCTAAAGCAGCTTATAATTTCTGTCCTGCGCCTTAACATGCAAGGTGCAAATTCACC